TATCGAGCAAAAGGTTACCCGACTGTTCACAAGTGCAAGCCACTAAGAGATTGTTATTTAATCTTTAGCTCGATAACATAAATTTCTAAGGAGAAGTGAAGTTTGTTACCGAGCTGGAGATTATCTAGCAATTCATTGGTGGAATCCTCGAATGAGCTAAACTTCTAGTGTTACAATTTGCATTCTTCGCATTCGAATACTGGGGGGAATGATATGAGGATACGATGACAAAGACTGCCACTTCAATCGGAATACGAAACCTGAAAGCATAGTTATGTCGTCGGGACCGGGGACTGCACGACCAGCCCCGTAGAAACAAGTTGTACAAGTTAGCCACAAGAAATGGCAATTTCACTTTAGCACAACGAATGCTTATGTACTTTTTAAAAATGAAAGGAATAAAGTAAAGTCCTTTTATTTTTATCTTGTTTCTTGTCTGAACGATGAATTGATTTTGTCATTTGAAAGTTAAACAAGTATTTCAAATGCTAGTGTCATAATTAACATGAGACGTCCTCTTCATGATCACCATAAACATAAGAGGGCCTTCTCTTATGAAAACCCTCACATTAAAAGGTTGATTTCGGAAGAACTTATTCCCGAAATCCAAATGCTTTCGGGAAAAAATACACCCAAAGCCTTGCACAAAAAGACGCAAAAAGCAAACTTGTACAAATACATAAACAAAAAAAGACGCAAGAAGCAAACTTGCGCAAATACTCAAACAAAAAAAAGAGACGCAAAGATTAAACTCGCATAATGTTTAAACGAAAGCGCGCAGAAAGGAAAATTCATGCAGTAATTAAGCAAAAACTATTTTTATTTACAACGAATGTGCCAAATGGCACAAGTAAAAAAGTTGGAAAAAGAAGTCAAAAGCTAAGGTGTTGTATCTCCGGAACCCAAAGGAAGAGAAGTATCCACGCCCCAGGAGAAGGAGGTAGATCCCCCGCTGGTTCGATATCTTGGCCTTCACCATTTTGGCTCTCAACATCATCACCTTCCAGTTCCTCTTTAGTTACTGAGAACTCAGAACCAGAACCAGAACCAGAAGAATCGCTAGTATCAGGCCTGGCCGGAAGACCTCTTTTTGTAGCTAACTCCAGCTCAAGGGCCTTAGCAATTTCAGCATCAAAGCCTATGACACCCGCTTTGGCCTCTTCCAAGGTTTTTCTCCCCATGCTATATATTGAATGCGTTTTATCAGCAATGAGGGAAGCTGTTTGGCACTGAAGTTCTTCTTTAAGTTGGTCAACCTCGGCAGAAAGATTTTCCCACGCGAATCTAACGGACCGGAAGCTGACTTCGAGGTCACGGACCGTATAGCTGAAAAGTCTATTATGCTCAATGATTTTCTTATACTTTTCCTCCAATTGCGCATACTTCACCCCGACAGCAGCAAGCTCTTCGGTTTTGGAATTCAAGGCCACTTCCAAATTATTTAATCTTTCAGCGGAGGCAGCCTCGCGATCAGATGCAGCAAGAACAACATTATGGACTTCATCCCATTTGGCCCTAGCCTCTTCAAACTGAACCCTCAACGGGGCGATTTATTGGCTAAGGGTCTCTACTTCTTGCTCGCTTTGCTACAACCGAGCCTCCAACACAACAACCTCAACAATTTTAGCTTCCAGTTCTAAGAGGCGAGCAACAGTTTGGTCCCGCTCAGCCAAAAGTTGATCCCGCTCAGAGGTAAGTTCTTCTTTATCTCAAATCCACTTTGGAGGCCCTCAGAAGCAAGAAAATTGGCCTGCGAAATAGAAAATGTAAACTCAGAATAATACTGTATCAAAGGTAGAAGAAATAATTAAGGAAACATAGGATATACTGTTGCGGTGTTGTGCATGGCATTGTTCAACAAGCACTCTCCCGAGAGAGCTTGTATCTTTTCCCTATCTTTTTTGAAGCCAAAGACTTTAGATAGTTAGCAAGTTTCACTGGCCGGAACAACAACTATGCATCCGGTGGAGACCGAAAGAGTTACACTCTTCCTCATTTGTGGACCCTCTGAGGGGGCAGCATAATTTTTCCCCAAGTTTCCATAAATTGGGGACTCGGGGAAGGGAACATCCTCTTCTCGGGCAGATGTGGCCGGTGGAGATGATGTAGCAATTGTTGGTGGAAGAGTTGGTGAAGAAGTAGATGAACCTAATGGAGTTGAAAAGTGAGAAGTAGCTGCGACAAACGCAATGCTGGTTGTTGGTTGCTCGCCAACCGAAGACAGCAGGGGCCCGGAACTCAGCCTCACGGTACTGAGCATAGTGACTAGGATCCGACAATGGGAGTTGGCATTTTCTACCATCTCAAACTCCCCCAGAGCGTCGAGGCGTCGTCCTCGGTTGGTGTAACTAACTCAACAGATTGAGCATTTTGTTGAATTGATGAAGGTCATCGTCTTCTATGTAGAGAAGCCCCCTAATCACTGGCTTCTCTATCATCATCAATAACCACAGTATCTATGGCCTGCTCGGGCGCGATGCTCGACACTACAGCATATGTAGACGATTCGGGCATGACACTCCTTGCGCTTTTATTTTTCCCGCCGGCCGCGGAGGAACATCTCTGTTTTGCTTGTTCTCCCGTCGGGGACTCCGAAAAGAAACACTTGCACACGAAGAAGGCCCGGAGATGCCTGTTTGAGTAAACGCCTCCTGAAATGTAAAGATGAAATGAGTCCAATTTACCAACCAAGCCCTGGGGTAGATATGAATTCAGCAAAAAGAGAAACGATTAATGAATTTCCTCATACGAAATGTAAAGACGAAATGAGTCCAATTTACCATGATTTTTGGCCTTCCGCCCGTATTTAAGGGCCATTTCTTTCCATGTGCGGGTCTCGGGCGTGGTGACGTCCAAGATTTTTTGGACCCACTGATCCAAGCCTTCAACCCTAGGTGGTACCCATCGGGTTGCTAAAATAGGCGAAAAGAGAAGGATCAATAATGATATGAGATGATCTTTAATGAAAGAAAGGTTAAACAAGGAACTTACGAGTGCGGTTCCATGATTACGAAAGGATGAAGTCATTGCCGGAATGATATCATTGGTAGCAACTGCAACGAACCGCTCCATCCACCCATGGTCGTTGTCATCATCCATGCTAGATAGCAGAGCATGGTGGCCATGTTTACTGCAATTTATCATCCCCCAACGGAAGATCATGGGGGAATAGAGGTTCATCACGTGAGCTAATAATAGCTCCTCTCCCGTCTCCTGTCACAAACGTCGAAGACAAGCGATGTCCTTCACACGGAAGGGCTTACTTGTGCCAAACACACCTGGTAGCAGAGGCAGAACTCCATAATGACAGAGTCAAGCTCTCCACTCAAAGAAAACGCTCCCAAAGTGAAGAGATACGTATTAAAATACGTAAAACCCTACTTGGGTAAGGCTACCTGTTCTGCCAGATTATGAGTGATAATGACTCAATCCTAGCAACGATAGTCTCCCTTCACAGTAAGAATGCTGGAAGGACGGATGGAAGAAGGGTATCTGCCAATGTCCCATGTACGAGGGTTAGCAGAAGAAAATTTCTCTTCGAAGTCTTTAGTTGTGACAAGACTTTTGAGGATGATGGTGCTCATCGTAGAAGGAACAACCTCGTCGACTTTGCCTTTGTTCTTTGAGGAACTAGGATTTTTAGAAGAAGAAGTCATTCTGTATTAGAAAAGAAGGAAAAGTTTTTCTCTTAAGAAGAAAGTTAAAGAAAGGCTGGAGACAGAGTACGAGTTGAATGAAGAGAGTTTGAGAAAGTTTGAAGAATTATGAAGTGTGAATGAAGAAGTTTGATGCGTATAAGTAAAGGAATAAACGGCTAGAATCGTGGCCATAATTACCTCGATAACACGCAAAAGTGATGTTAAATCATGGGATGACGCGTGTTCGGGACATTAAATGCGGAGAGACGTACGTCTAATCAACCGTCAGAAAATTTTCCGGAGGGGTCAGTGAATTTCCTGCCAAAGAAGGTATTTCTACCAACTTTCCGGTAACACAAAGTTATGCCACCGGAAAGCAAGAGGACTATCTGTATATGGTAAAATATGTTTATATTAAATGATCGCACGAGGAAGTGACACGTAAACCCGAAGACGGAAGATAGTTGAAACCGAAAGCGACGATCTCATCTGTCACAGGAGAGAACGATACTCATAAAAATGAAATAAATATCTGCCAGCCGGTGACATTCAATAACAAATATTCTATAACATTAAGTACATGACCCGTTACAAGGAATATGACATTCACTGCCTACCGTTACACATTCTTCAGTGACCCTCATAATTGGCATTAAAAAGGGACTTGATCCTAGGACCTTGTTCCCTAGGTGCAGCTATAAATAGTGAGCTATATTATCATTGGAGGGACGAATTTTCTGGCAAAAACATGCTACATTCTATTTTAAAAAAAGGGCAGCCTGGTGTACTAAGCTCCCGCTATGCGCGAAGTCCGGGGAAAGACCGGACCACGAAGGCTACACTCTATTCAAAGCTGAATATAATTTTATCTTCTTGTTTAGTGATATCATTGTTGTGCCCAGAAACCTTGTTTCTGCATTTTCGTCTAATTTATCTATTATTTCAGGATCAAATTAATTCACTTTTCTATAAACCACGTATAAATTCAACTGTACCGTTTTACGGACAAACATATATAATACATAAATTATGCATATATTATACCTCTACGAGCTATTTTTAGTTTAAGTGGTAGGGTGATCGGCTATTTGGGTTGATTCTTCTTAATAATATTCAAGTATTGGTTAGAGCAAGTCATGATCAAAGTAAGAGCTTAGATAGTAGTAAAGGAAACTGATATTGCCTTTGGTTGGAAATATTTTCTTTTAAGACATACTTTTTGGTAATATTTTTCATCATACTAAACAATAATGGTGAAAATAATTGTTGGACTAAATTGTACATTTGAAAACCTGCAGGACCCTCTTGCAATGTTGGTCTTCCTTCACACGTATGGCACGTGGATAGCACAACCCTTTTCCCAAGCAATCTCACCGATTCGATTTCATTGCAATGGAATCTACTTCTTTCATAAACCCTAGTTGAATTTGAGAAGAAAATTGGAGAGATTTAGACAAAAATGGTGGGTACAAATTTGAAAGCAGAGACTATAAAGCTTATGGATCAAAGAGCAAATACAGAAGCTGAAATGGAGATTATTATTCAGCGCCTTTGCCAACCTGGTGGCCCTGGACTCTCAGGCAACCTTGTTGATTCTGAGGCAATTCTAACTCGTCTAATACTTTTTATTTTCTTGCCTTTTTTGTAATGATATTTTCTTGATTTTTTTTTTTTGAATGATTGTGATGTCCGAGTCTTGCTTCCATCTCTATTAGCTATGTACCAGCTAACTTTGTATACCAAGACTTGAACAGAGAAAAAATCACCTATTTTCCTGGTTTTTACCCCTTTAAAAATCTTGGCTTGTTTATTTTAGTGAAATGAGCCGAGGGTCGCGTACATACTATACTCCCAGACACCACGTGTCGGAATATACTGGGAATGTTGTTGTTTATTTTAGTTAAGATTGAATCTTTTTGTGATCTTATGTTGGTATTGTTAATGTTGAAAGGAACTGTATTGTTTTGTGTTTTGTATCTGACTGGTGGTTTTTTTTTTTCCTTTTTTATTTTTGTTTGTGATTTGATGTCTGTTTTGTCTATAAAAACTGAAACTTGAAGGTAATGCAGGGGTTCCCAAGAACTGATATTGATATTCCAACTGTACGGGCTGACCGGCGTAGGCTTGCAGGTATGAACATAAACTCCTATTTATTACTCTTCTCCGTCCTATTTTATGTGACACTATTATTAGTTTGTTCTGAAAAGAATGACACGTTTCAATATTTGTAAACAATTTAACTTTAAATGTTCCATTTCCTTTAATGAAAAGCTTTATTGAACCACATAAATGTTATTACATCTTTAAGACCATAAGTTTTAAAAGTTTTTATAGCCAGATAAATATTGTGGTATGTTTAGGACCACAAGTTGCAGAAGTCGTACTTTCTTTCTTATACTCCTGGACAAGTCAAACTACATCACATAAATTTGAAACGAGGGGGATGTTTTTTCATTGGACATACTGGGGTTTGTTTTTTTATAAGAATGTGTCTGGTTTTGTTAAGTTTTAGTCAGTGATGTTGCTTCGGACTTGAGTTTGATGTCATAACTTAGTGGAAATTCTGACTGATATCTGTGTAGTATGTTTTGAGGAAGTACACTTTGTTTTGATAAGTGTGGTGTCTGGGTCAGCTTGAATGAACCTCGAGTATTCCATTGAGTACCTTCCACCTCATCTGATAATTCTACCCTCCAACAGTTGGGCAGATGGGAGAAATCACCTAGCTTTTTTGTTTCTGTTGGGACTTCAACCTTGGTCTCCTTTAATTTTCATACATAGGCCACAGCCACACCATTTGGTTTATTTTCCAAATTGGAACTGAAATTTTAAACTCAGTTTTATTGTCCAAATTATTGATTCTGTGCCTCCAGAAGACCAGAACTACTTGCTTAGTCTAAGGAAGCAGAAAAATGAACATGTTAATATTCAGAAATAAGGAGCTCACTGTAGATCTTAAGGTTCTTGGCTTTTAACCGTGAAAAGAGACATATTTGCGTATCAAGTTAACTAGTCAGGTAACTGTGTGAACGTGCAAAGTATAGGTAATCTTTTTTGTGCACCGAAGTCGTAGGTGTTGTTGATCAGGTTACCTAAAGTTAGTATTTGAGTTTTCTAATCTATCTGGTATATCCCATCTGGTAACCTGCAGTTCTGCAATGAATGCAAGGTATATGCTTGTCATCTATATCATCCTAACGTATGGATTGAGAAAGAATTACTGCTGGTAATATTTAATTATACTGAAACGTGTCATGTTTTGCACATTGATTGCTGCAACATCAGAGCTCCAGCAAATTTCTATAATGTCATATAATTTGTTGGTATTGTTTCCAGCACTGCTCATGTTTAGCAGCAATTTAGTAAATGAACATTTTTCAGCTCGTCTCTAAACTGTGCAGTTTTTCCACCCTGCAGAGCTACGTAATGATCACAAGATTATGACAGAAAAAATAGACCAAAATATTCAAGTTCTGCATTCAGCACGGCTTGCTTCTACACCTTCTTCTGTCAAAGACTCAGGTACGTGAGCTGGATCATAATAAACAACTTTTTCATAAGAACGTCGTCCTACTTCTACTGAAAAGATCTCTAGTTTTATTAGAGAAGTTCAGTAGAGTTTTTTATTTGCACTTTTTATGCATTGTTGAAATGGTTGTTGGTTGCTGTCGCTTTAGTCATGCATGAAAAACTCGAACAAAATAAAGATTTCCAGTTTCATATAATGCTCCGATGCATCCTCATCCAGCAACTTTACCCCTCTCTCGACAGGCAGGAAGTGAGAGTGACAGTTCTATGTGCAATAATAAAACCTTTCCTTACGCATCAGTTGTTTTTAGTAGAGCTGGCTCCCTTGATATATATATATATATTTTTCACTGCTAGCTGATTTATATATCTCGTGCTTTACCATCATCCTCATGATGCTGTACATTGTAATTAGGATTTCTACGAAAATGCTTATCCCACTGACATATTATATCTTGTGTATATGCTTCTGCATCTAAGCCTGTGTTTGCCCGGAAGTTGTCACCCCATCCTCCTATTTGGCTTATTTTCTAGTTACTTGCTCAGTTCATACTACTAATGAATTCTATCTTAAACATCCATGTGCATGCCAAGATCACTACACATAAGGGTACTTCGAATTATTTTGTAGTAGTTGATATAGGTATAAGCTATTCTAAAGTTCACCTAAATTGCTATACGTCACCGTTGAAAGTTTTCATTTTCATGTAGCAAAATGTCTTATGCAAGGTCCTGACAGCAATTTTTTCATTCTTCCAAAATGACACTTCTGCTTCAGGTGTTCATGTATCTGCCGTCAATATTACTTCCTCATCATCTCCAGATAATTATATTGCGACAGCTGCTCCGAGTTCTATGGATGTGGATGTAGTTGTCAGCAGACCCTTTGCGGTGATTGATGAAATAACTGAGGCATCTCCAGCAGCCGAAGACGGGTTACAACTTGGAGACCAGGTTATGAAATTTGGGAATGTTGAGTCAGGTGAGAACCTGTTACAGCGACTTGCTGCCGAAGCACAGACAAACCAGGGGTGTGCAGTGTCCATGAAAGTTATGAGGCAAGGTGCTATCGTTAACTTACAAGTGATGCCAAGAATGTGGCAAGGTCGTGGCCTGCTAGGGTATGTTTCTTTTTCCTTGTTAATCCATGAGTAGAATCTACTTGCGTGTAATGTCATTAACTTGTAATCTGTTATTATCTATAGATGCCATTTCCGGATCTTATATTGAGTTTGTCGACTGGAGGACTGCACCAAATGATATGTCACAAAGAGTTGATATGAAGAAGAATTCATCGACGTCTTTTTAAACATCGTGTGTTTTCTGTTTGGTGTATGAACGCAAAATGATGTAGCGTGGATCATTGCTTTCAAACAGCTATTTACACTCAATTGCATCATATAATTATTTTTCTTGTTTAATACAAATGCTTGTTAACCTTGGGTGCCCAGGGTCATGTATTTTCCTGGATTTGTATCAGGAGTTTCTTTATCACCTTTGGTGTTCCTGTTGAGGTTCCATTTTTGTAGCTTATTTCATAGGCACCAGAGTTTAACATAATCTTTTTTAGTTAAGCTCTGATGCATTTGCTCAAAATAATTCTTGACCCCAGCTTGAGCTGTAGCATAATTAAAACATAGTTGTTCTACTATGTGACTTCGATTGAGTGAAAGCTTAAATATTAACAAGCATGGAATCAACCATTTAAGCTTGCATCAGGATAGGTTATCTACTTCAGACCTCCGTCGGTTTCGGCCCTTTCTCGGTCCTTGCGTGAATGCGAGATGCTTCGTGCTTGATACTTACATCAGGATGGGTTGCCTGCATCACACCCCCATCTGGTGCTTGCATTAGGATGGGTTGCCTGCATCACAGCCCCATCTGATGCGGCCCTTTCCCGGACCTGCTTGAATATGAGATGTTTCGTGCATCAGACTGCCATTTTTATTTTCTAGTTGTTTTCTTAATTATAACTAACGTGTCTTCAAGATCACAGTGCAATAAAAGGCTTATAGCTTGTTTGGCCAAGTTTCTCCAAGGCCAAAAACTTTTTTTTTTATTTTAAAAAAGTATTTTTTTTAAAGTTGAAGTGTTTGGTCAAGCTTTTAGAAAAAAAAACGCATTTGAGTAGAAGCAGAAAAAAGTAGTTTCTCCTCTGAAACTTTTTTGAAAAGCACTTTTAGAAAAATATACTTAGAAACATTTTTTTACAGCTTGGCCAAACATTAATTGATGCTCAGAAGTGCTTTTTAAGTTAATAAGCCAAACAAAAACGGCTTCTCACCAAAAGTATTTTTTAAAAAAACGTTTTTAAGAAAAAGTACTTCTCAAAATATGTTATTTTATAAGCTTGGCCAAACAAGCTATTAGACAAGTTAGAGGAAATGCATAAACTGGGGGGTGCAGTTTGACAATTGCCTCGGGACTATTGTTAAAGGCCATAACACAAACTTAAGTTTTATTTCTTGAATCCTTTTAAAAAAAAAAACTAACCAAGCAAACCCAACTGCAAAAAGGATTCAAGTTATATTGGGAGTTTCTCGTGCGATAAATATGGATTCGATTTCCCCTCCCCTTAGTGGGCGTTAAAATTCCAAAATTGAGGGGGGGGGGGGGGGAATTTTTCATGTGAAAATAGTATTTGAAATTTAGAGTTGTGTTTGAACATGGATATAATTTTGGGTTGTTTTTGAAGTTTTGTAAGCGATTTGAGTGAAAATTTTGAAAAACAATTTTTTTGAATTTTTCAAATTTTCGAAAATTTCTAAAATGCATCTTCAAGTTAAAATTGAAAATTTTATGAAGAAGCGCTGATTTCGAAAAAAGTAAAAAAAATTTGAAAAAAAGGAAAAAATTTCTTATGTCCAAATGGGCGTCTCACCCTTTCCTCATTGTTAATCTAAGCTTAACAGCTATAGCAGGTTACTTACCATCTTTTCGGGATTACTAATCCACCGTTATTATAGACAATTATCTATAGATGGTTTTTACTAGTATGGTGATGTAAAAATTGTTTGTTGTATGTATAAATACTACTCCTCTTGCTTTATATTTTTTGTTGTTTAAGGCTTTGAGAAGTAATTGGATATTAACTCCTATAATGATCTATGTAACCAACTTTAGTAACATCAAATTTTAGCCCTAAATCAACTTACTTAACCTCAAAGTTAAGAAGTGCACTTTGTTTTTCAATTACCCTATTTGTACTACTTTCACAAACTTCACCAACCTACAAAGATTCTTTCCACAAACATATCACATAGTACATCCTTCTCTATTAGATGGAGTTTTAGAGGTTGGAATAGATACCTATATTGGAAATTAAGAGTAACTTTATCATATATGAGAGGCATTAATGATGATTTTCACACCTAGGTATTTAGGTGACATGTTTATTGCTTTCTTTCTTGAGCCGAGGATCTTTCGGAAACAGCCTCTCTATTCCCTCGGAGAAGATCTGCGTACACACTACCCTCCCCAGACTCCACTAGTGAGATTTCATTGTGTCGTTGTTGTTGTTGTTGTTGTTTATTGCTTCCTTCGGCAATTTTTGTGATCGTATATTTTAGAGGCGGATTCAAAATTTAACTTTAATGAATTCAATCTTTAAGGTTCTTATTACACTGAACTCTTTGCATTTCGGAAAGTTGTGAATCAGAATTTAATATATGTTAGAATTTAGTAATTTTTGAATTATCATAAATTAAGCATAAAATGGAAATTAGCACCTTAAACATTTTTGACAATGAGTGTCACTTTCTATTTTCCATCAACCTATCGTGTGACGATTTATGCAAACAATGTGGCATTTGTTTTTTTCAATTTGGCATTTTGTGCTTCTATCTTATAAAATGCTTACTAGCCTAGCAATCTGCCACTCATTCTTGCTAATTCTTTCTCTCATCATCAGTCTGCCACCACAACGATATAAAAAAGAAAGAAGATATTTTTGTTACAATGAATAAAATGTTTTTACTTATAACCTTCTAGATTTTCGACCCTCCAAGTTAGTGTTGGGCCATAGATTTTCAAATTTATTTTAAAAAATTTGATTTGGGTGAAGTTTGGTTTGAACATGAAAATGTGTTTGGACATCTGTTTTGGGTGAAGTTTGGCTTGAAAAAACATGAAACATAACTTATACCCACAAGTTCTAAAAACTATCACAAATACCCAACAGTACCATTATCAATAACATTCATTATATTATCGCAAACCATAGTCCTGAACATAAATAAATTTGATACAAAATTATCATTTTTATAATGAATACATGATACAATATCAGATGACCGAGAAGACGAAGCAATATTGTTACAAAATAATAAATGGTGGGCTCATTTATAAAATACAAAAAGTTTGGGATAATTTTTAAAAAATATAATATTGATATTTTGGCTAAGCTGATTTTGGGATCTGGGATTTGGGATTTGGACAAAATGTAGGCAAAATCTATGGCCAAACATGTGTTTGCCAAATAAAACCCAAATTTATTTTTGGCAAAATCTATGGCCAAACGAGTCCCAAATATGAAGGGAAAATATTTAGAACCCGTTTGGACATAAAAAAGTTTTCACTTTTTTTCGAAATCAGCGTTTGGTCATAAATTTTTCAATCTTCACTTGAAAATACATTTTAAAATTTTTCGAAATTTTGAAAAACTCCAAAAAGTTATTTTTCAAAATTTTCACTCAGATCACTCACAAAACTTCAAAAACAACTCAAAATTATATTCATGTCCAAACACAACTCTAATTTTTAAATACCATTTTCACTTAAAAATATTTTTTACTTTTTTAAAAAAAATTTACAATTCTTTTATCCAAACGCCCACTAAGTATTGGGGAAAACAAGAAATTGCTTTCTATGTGTCATTGGTTGAGAAGGTTCCTATTTGAATCATTCAAAATTAAGAAAAACATGGAATTAGCAACGACTGTCACTTACTATTTCGGTCCTGGATTTAGATTTTTCAATTATCAAACCAAACAATAAATGGTGTGAGGGTTTTTAATTTATAAACTAAACAAATAAAATTGGATTTTTTAATCTCGGGTTTTCTCGAGTTTACGGGTTTCTTCCCGGTAAAGTTTTCATAGCATAAAATATGTAACTTGTGCTCCAAATATTTCTTAAGTCCTAGTAAAATACAACTATATAACGTGTTTTACAAGAAACTGACACAATAATATGAGATAAGTCATAGTATTATACTAAAATATTCAATAACAAAGATAAAATAATAAAATTACATAAAACAAATATTGCTAACTAATAAGCCATAATGAAAATTAACATAATCTAAAAATACTATATAGATCATGCTAAAATAAGTATAGCTAATAAGTACTAATATTAATTACATAAGTAAGCACTAAAGAAAAAGATAAACTAAGTTATGCATTTTCATTATAAACCAATGTAAAACTAAAATAATTATCCAACACTTTCGTCATTTCTAGTATTGAATTGAATTTTTTTTGTTAGTATTAGTATTGATTTGAACTTTGTTTGAGTTACTACATTTATGAGCTATAAAATTTATTTACCATTCAAAAATGTTAAGCCTAAACTTGAAAATAATACGTTAAAAGATAAAACTATGAAAAAATTTAAGAAATATTTATAAATTATATTATAATAAATATTTATATGTATAAAATATTTTTAAAAATTATATAAATGTACTATCGGGTTGGTTTAGTTTCGGTTTGACTTTTTTTTAGTTAAAACCAAACCAAACCAAACCAATATATTCACATTTTAGTTGTTCACATGAGGAAACAAGTGCAGGACTCCTCAACCTAGCTTGAACAAATATATTTCCTCATTTTTAATTTATTTCTTTCCCACAAATAATACATCTCCGACCATGAATTTAGAAGTGTATAGCAACTCAAATTATGTTCACATTTTAGTTGTTCAAATATATATTCTCAAGTTTGTGGATAATTATCTCTTTATAGCTTGTTTCATAAAGTTAATCCTCATTAATTTGAAGTGCAATCTCTTTTGTTTTTACTATAGTTATAGTAATTAAATTTAGTCATTCAAAACTCATCATGTGTTTAGTTATATAGTGATAATGGCAACGAATTTCTCTAGGTTGTTTAAATTTGAAAGAAGTGAAAGAATTTTTCGGGTGTTCAACATATGTTATATACCTCTAAAACCTAATATTTTATCTATATACATAGTTAATCTTTCGACTTAGGGTCCGAAAAAGGGCCACATCCCAAGCGGGTGTGATGTAGGTAATCTGTCATGATGCAAACATCAACGGCTGATTCCACGGCTCGTACCTGTGATCTATAAGTCACATAGAGACAATTTTACCGTTGCTCCAAGGCTCCACTGCAATTAAGAGTGGAAAACGGACGGGGCGGGTAGGATATGGTTCGGGTCGAAAACGGGTAATGAAAAAATGAATAAATTATCCGACCCGACCCATATTTAATACGGATAAAAAATGGGTTAACCGATGGATAATATGGGTAACCATATTATCCATGGCTTCTTGAATATGAATACTTTTGGGAGAATTCCTAGTCTCCCAAACTTGTGGAAGCCCCAATTTGAGGCTTTACTAATGTAAAAGTTAAACTCATTAGTTATCCATTGGTTACTCATTGGTTATCCATTTTCTAAATGGATAATATGGTTCTTATCCATATATTTGACCCATTTTTAAAAAATTCACTATCCAACCCATTTTTTAGAGGATAATATGAGTGGTTAAATGTGTTCTTTTAACCATTTTGTCACCCCTAACTCCAACTAATAAAATGCTAAGTTGACAAAGTTACCCTCCGGTCCAACCATACCCGGTTCAGCAGTCCTAAAACCGGTTCTCCGGTCTGCAATCAACACCAACAAGAACCCCCTCCAATTCATTTCACTCTCTTTCAAGTTTCAACTCCAAGAAAGAAGAAAAAGCAGGAAGCTCCCTTTCCCACTAGCAAATTCAAAATCAAATCTTTTCATGTTCCCAATATTTTCTTTTCCCTCTTAACTTTCCCTGAAAATGTAGTAGTAGTAGTGAAAGTAAAACCAAGAAAAGAAAAAAAGAAAAGAAAAGCATGATTATTAATGTAATGATCACTTTATAGTGTCAGCTTTTTTATTTCATTCACAGAATGATGAAGTTCTAAAATGACAAAGTCTCAGTTCATCTCCTCTCTGCTAAAAGAAAGCAAAGAAAGAGAAAATGCAGTATTTTTTGGTACATTTTTTATTATGAAGTGTAGTTCTTTTATAGTATGTGTATTTTTGAAAATATAGGAACTTGAATCTTGTTTTTAGTGAAAAGTGGATGAGATTTTTCTTGTGCATTTGAATATTTATAGATATGTTGAATATTTAATTTAATGGGGTTTAAAGTTTGAATCTTTGATTGAAAAAAGGTTGTAAATTGAGATGTTTATTATGTTGGGTCAGCCTTTTCTTGAGATATTGAGTTTTCCTTCTATGAAAACACACTCACAGGCAGGGGAGCTAGAGTGTCGGGAGAAGGTTCGACCGAACCCAGTAACTTAGGTTCTAACCTTTTATTTGTCTTAAAAAATCCATTGAATATGTATAAATTATTAAACTATTAGAATCCCTAACTTGAAATTCCGGTTTCGCCAATGCTCACAGGCCAGAACTATCTCTTTTGCTACATTTTATATTATTAGTTTAGTTTTATGTAATATATGTATGTATGAAAATTTTGGAACTTGAATCTTGTCTTTAGTCAAAGGTGGATGAGATTTTAGTGTGCATTTGAGTATTAGTTTAATGGGGCTTAAAGTTTGAATCTTTGATTGGAAAATAAAAAAATGTAATTTGAGATGTTTGTGATGTTGGGTCAGCCTTTTCTTGATTTTTGAGTTTTCCTACTATGAAACCACACACACACACAGAGGCCAAAGATGTTCTTTATACATTTTCTATAACAAAGTTTAGTTCTTTCTAATATATGTATGTATGGAAATGTGGAAACTTTAATCTTGTCTTTAGTCAATTGTAGATGAGTTTTTTTGTGTGCATTTGAATGTTTATGGTGTATTGAACTTTTGACTTAATGGGGTTTAAAGTTTGAATCTTTGGTTGGAAAAAAATTGTAATTTGAGATGTTTATGATGTTGGGTCAGCCTTTTCATGAGATAATGAGTTTTACTGTTTTGGTAATTTCAGGGCCAACAGTTGAATTATCATTTCAGAGCTTTTAGGTTTAAGGGCTTATAATATGGCTTTGTGCAAGGAGGTTTCTGTGATGCAAATCTTGGTTTTCTGGTGGTTAATGGGCATATAAGTTATATTTACTTTCTGGATAAGATCCAAAGTTGTGTAAAGTGTAATTTTTCGGATTTTTCCAGTTGAATCTGTTGTCTATTAGGAGAGTTTTTTAAGCAATGTGGTGGTTTACTAAGATCTTAGGGGTTTCGCATAGTGATGTCGAGAATTTGGAGGGCTAAAGTTGAAATTGGTGAAGGAAGAAGGTAAGTTTGCATAAAATGCCAGGGGTTTCAAGAATAAGGTCAATGAATGTGGCTGATATAGAAGTAAGGCAAATCTTTGGACCAGCTGAGAATAAGGCACAGAGGTCACTTGGTTCAAGAAAACCAGTTTCAAAACCTATTAGGAAGGCAGAAAAGTCTACTGAGGAAGTTGAGGTGGTGGAGGATAAGAACGGTCGTCGATTATCACCTTTACTGCAATCTGTCAAAGTTCCTAAAATACTTCAGCGACAAGACTCGTTATTGCATTCGAGTCTGTCACTCAGTGCTTCATGTTCTTCTGATTATGTATCAGATTCTTCACCTGAAGGTTTACAATCAAAGAAAAGGTGTGCTTGGGTGACACCTAATACTGGTATTTTCTTGATTCTTTCATTTAGAAGATCCAGATTTTGATTTTTCGATACGCTTCTGATTTTATGTTTTCATGGTAGTTAAGAATTCCTTATATTAGAAGGTTTATTCATAGGCAGAGAACTGAAGTGTAGAAAAAAGAAAGGGCAGCTCGGTGCACTAAGCTCTAGATATGCGCGGGTCCGGAGAAGAGTCGGACCACAAGGGTCTATTGTACGCAGCCTTATCCTGCATTTCTGCGAGAGGCTGTTTTCACGACTCGAACCCGTAACCTCCTGGTCACATGACAACAACTTTACCAGTTACTGAAGTGTAGAGAAGTATTCAAATCTTTCTATGACTTGAAACCACATAAGAACTTACCCTAAGGTTTGTAGGGTTGCATAATTCCTTGGTTAACGTTAACATGTCGATTACTTTAACGTTAACATGTCGATTACTTTCTCCCAAAGCTATAGGAGACAATATATAATCTCTCTCAACCTTTTAAGTTCTGAAAAATAGTTCTGAAATTTGAATTTTGCGTTTTAGCATGTACTGCGGTCAGAGGCGGACTCAGGATTCGGCGGTCGTGGGGCACCATGACATTCAATATAAATTTATCTTTGCTCATAAAGATTGGTATGAGGGCCTATGCTAATATCTGACTATTTTTGTAAGACATTTGCAAGTATATATGGAGTTTTCGCCAAAGTTTTCGGGTACTGGTGACCCCTTAACTCATCATGTGCGTCCTCCTCTGACTGCGGTATCTTTTGCAGCAACTAATGTTAGATGAAATAGTAGAATACGTTACAAGTTCCAAACAGAGTTCTTTTCAATTTCTCAACTCCTTTCAAACTTTTCTTGTGTGAGAAAAGAGGTGTTATAGTCGGCACCTACAAGAAAAGTGTCATCGCATTTTCTCTAGTTATTTTTTTTTCGGTGTCTGTTGTCCTGAAAAATCAATGAATTTCTACTTCTCAGAGAACATAAAAAAGGCAGCCCGGTGCACAAAGCATTCCGCATTCACACAGGGTCCGGGGAAGGGTCGCACCCCAAGGGGTGTGTTGTAGACAACCTATATAGTGCAATATTTGGGGAATATATTTGTAGCCTAAAGTATAGCTTACAGGGTGTATATTTCCTCTTGTGTAGGACCCTTGAACTTTCAACTTCTTATACTGCCTTCCTTTTCAATCAGATCCATCTTACGCAAATTTCCATAATGAAGAATGGGGAATTCCAGTACATGATGATAAGTAAGGTTCCAGATTGCTGTTCGGAGCGTCCTTTACAAAATACAGACGCTAATTCTTGTTATATTAGTTCAGGAGATTATTTGAACTCCTTGTTCTTTGTGGAGCATTGGCTGAACTCACTTGGCCTTTCATTCTTAGCAAAAGACATATATTCAGGTACTCGTTGATAATTCTTTGCTTTAAACTATTCATGTCATAGGTAGGATGATAAACTAACAATAACTTAGTTTTTTTCTCTTCTGCTCTAACTAATCGACTCTTCAATATACAAATCTTCTCCTTAACAAAAATATTTCTTGGTGCAGGGAAGTATTTGCAGATTTTGATCCTATAGCAGTGGCAAAATTGAATGAAAAGAAGATTTTAGTACCTAGAAGTGCAGCATGCTCACTACTATCAGAGTTGAAACTGCGAGCAGTAATTGAAAATGCTCGTCAAGTATCAAAGGTATATCCTTTCCCAGCGGCAAAGCCATGATTTGAAATTTATAGGTTTTGAACTTGCTACCGAACCAATAGCTCTTTTAGTTACTGCGTTCGCAATTAAATATTTATACATATTTAATAGATTTTTATTACATGTTGTGTCATTCGCTTCCGTTACCCTACTATATTGTTGTTGCTATTGTTTGTTGCTTTATTTTTACTGTTCCTTGAGCCGAGTCTATCGAAAACAGCCTCTTTACCTTTATAGGGTAGGTTAAGGTTTACGTACATACTACCCTCCCCATACCCTATTTATGAGACTACATTGGGTTTGTTATTGTTGTTGTTGTTGTTGGTGGTGGTGGTGGTGGTGTACATATTTAATAGATTTCTTAATGCAAAAACAGGGTGTAAGCAAAACCTACTGGGTTTGTCCAAATCCATAAACAATACACTACCTCCGCCCCTATCCGTTGCTCTTTATTCAGTTAGCTTTTGTAAATACCTACCTCGACTGTACTTGCACTCGTGTTCTAACTAATTTAGAGGTACAATGTCTAATAAAACTGTTAATAGAGTCAAAAACTTCTAGCTGTTAAAATATTTCAGTAGTTATTGCAACTAAATTTGTGCATGTTTTGCTCGTATCAGATCATTGATGAATTTGGGTCATTTGACAAGTATATCTGGAGCTTTGTGAACCACAAGCCTATAGTTGGCAGATTCCGATAACAAATGACCATCTTATTAGCTGCTTCAGATTTCAGGACTGTGTGGCAGCTGCTGAAGGAAAACAATAGGATCTAAACGAAGATAATTATACTGAGGTAGCAAAAGCAAATGAAGCCATTGAAGCAAAGAAGTGTAGATCGATCGATGAACTGAGTTTCTCATTGGTGTGATTGAGCCATTGTGCATTTTAATGAGACAATTCAGAGCTTACTTGGTCTATCGTAAACAATCTCTTTACCTTCCCAGGGTAAGGGTAAGGTCTGCGTACACACTACCCTTTCCAGACCCCACTTGTGAGATTCAAATGGGTTGTTGTTGTTGTAATTCAGCGCTTACTTGTAACATCTGGTGATCATCTAAGCTCACACAGATTTAGTAGCAGAACTGGTCGTGTACAGAAACGACGTCGATTCCTCTGCATTATAGATTCTTAGATTTGTAGATTATTATTACTAGATGAAAATTGAGTTAAGTAGTGGTAACTTTTGTAGTGTACAGTGTGTAATGTTATTATTACAAGTTTACAACTTCAAATGCTACAATCTTAAACATCTTTTCTGAGTCTGGGAAAACAGAAAGTAAGACATTCTGTTATTGTTGTACCTGGAATTAAATATGCATCTATATGTAAGGGACTTATCTGTGTGATGGACAGCTCACAAAAACAATCACCATTCTCAACTATCTTTATAAAAAGGGGATGGATCTTTAATTTTGTGCCTAATGTTCAGGTCAAGATTACCAACTATAGAAGGGCCTTATATATTTAAAAGAAGAAGTCACAAGTCTCTACTACCTGTCATCTTTAGGGTTACAGCAAAATGGTAAGGACAGTACACATGAAGTGTCAATTAGGCGCATGTTACGAGTTTGAATCTTACCCGCTTAGTATTAAACAGGAATTGGGTAGAGGAGCGGACCCATAAATCGGGCTCGTGGGAGATTTCTCGATTATTGAGAAAAAGTCTCTCAGAGAGTTGTCTAATCATGCAGCTCTAGCTCACTGTGTTTTGCCAATTTCCAAACTGTTGGTTGGCCCCTTTATTCTTGAAATGGTAAATGGGAAGCAAATGGTTGTTGGAGATGGATTCAGAGTTTCCTTTTAAGCTGTCATCAAATATTTGCTTTCAAATCGACGAACATCAGAAGATATTTCTCTAAGTTCTATTTAAATTAGTTTGATCCGCAATAATTTACATAACCAGAGTATAAACTATCTATATTGGACGACTACAACCAATCTACTCAACCTATTGATAAACTGTAAGACTTTTAAAAAAAAGTACATGCTTCTTATTTCTACAAGAAAGCCCTATGACGGGAAACTAACTGAATGCAAGGGGAAAAAAAGGGGATAAAAATCAAAGCAACTAAACAATTTCAGCAAGGCTTTATTTCAAATCCAATACTCAACAGAGTTCGAGCCGACTCCATTGCCTTTTCTCCTCCAAGGTCCAACTTCTCACCTGTTAACGCACCTTCTTTATCAACGGACCATTGTGTGGTCGATTTTTGATGCTGTAGCAGTTCGGGTTTCTTAGCCTGCAGATTGGTAAAGGAAGCAGGGGCAGCAGCAGCAATAAGAGGTGCACTAGGTGGACTTTGACGCTTTTTTGGTACGGGCATGTCATGATCGTGTACTCCCTTATATGTTATTATCAATGCACTTGTGCTATCTATAGCTCTCTCAATGTGCTTTCGAACCGGACATCCAGCTGATGTACAGCGATAGTAGTTCCTAAAAGTCATCCAAATAAACAATTCAGAAACAGTACAGGAAAACGGAGGAAGAAAAATGGAGCACACCTTTGACCAAGATAAAGGGTTACTATAAAGTAGATAAAACAAGTAATATGTGAGTTATTTTTAGGTTTACAGAGGAATTACAACGCCATCTCCTTAATTGTCTACTCATAAGAGATGCTGTCAAGCTAGAATATACTTTGACAAGTTATTTTTCTTTGTTTGACTCAAGGCTTGGCATTTCTACTTCTTTTAACAAAGGACCAAATTGATGTTGCATAAGAAAAAATCCAAATTTCTAACTTAAAATGGAAAACGTGAAGGAAATTATTACATGAAGAAAGGCTAGATACACGGTGCAAGAAGAATAGCACCCGCCTTTAAAAAACAGGATAGGGTGCATACAATCAAGCATGAATCAAGGAATGCATTAATCTGGCATCAGTCTTTCTGGCAGAAAGAAAAACGATTATCAAGTGTAAAGCATGAAATAATATAGTACCTTGGGTGGGGATTTCCCTTCACCATTTTTTGTCCATACTTGCGCCATCTATAGCCATCACTTGAGATTCCTACATCACAAGCAGCATGCACCACAAGTTTGGGTTTCTTTCCAGGTCTAGAAACAGATTCGGAACTTGCGTCACTTTTCTTCAACCTGGAAACCATAGGTGAGTTTTGCAATCAATACTATGGTTTTGAACATCTGTAAGATGAAAGCCGGATCAATGATAATAACTAAATTACATACAAGAGAGAACTTGCCTCTTCTTTTGTTCAGGTTCATCACTGTGCTCCTCTTTAATAGTGATTTCAGTGTCAGTATCAGACCCACAAGAATCCTGATTTGCTTTCTCAGCAATTGGTGAAGTTTCTTGTAAATTTTCTTTTAAAGAGGACGGCACGGTCTCATTAAAACTTCTATTTGGACAAGCTATCATACGGCTGTCATTAGCTGGTGCAGGCAATACTACAGGCTTGCTTTCCTTTGAGCAATTTACTCTCGGGGGTGGATCATGATTGTGTTGACTTCTATAAATAATCTCCATCACACGATTAGTGTGATCAGAGCACTCAATCTTCTTGGCGCAACACTCAGAATGAGTGCATCGGTAATAACTTCGAGAACCTTGAGGAATTTTAACTTGCTTTTGACCATACTTCCGCCAATTGTACCCATCACGGGATGGTGTCTTCAGGACTGGCACAACAACCTTGGCATCGGAACTCTGCTTAGCCACTTCTTCTGTACTACCATTTACTACTGCTGACAATTGTCTTTCTGCTAGAGTTGGGCTCGGCAATGATGAAATGGACGGTGTAACAGATGTAGGGGACAGCTCCAATGAGGATGCTTCATCAGGCATACGTTGCTGATGTTGTGTTTGTACTTGAGCACTCAAAGTTTCAGGCCTGGTAACACTAATTTTATCCTGCATACAACATGAAATGACTCATTTGATGTCACCCCATCCCACAAACATACATATCCAGTTCCAACATTTGCCTGATTTAGCTTTTCAGTAAAAGTATAACATTATACACAGGAAAATAGAAAATCAGATACTCCGGAAAGCTAAATATATTACGAACCTACATAAGTAATTTGACTATATTCATTTATAACATCACATGATAATATTTTTGCAACTAGAGAAATTATGAATTACATTCAGTTTTGGAATTTCTCAAGTACATGTACAGTCATTCAAATGATTTCAATTGTCACCCCAAGCTCCGGAAACAAGAAAGCAGTTTTATTGTGAGATGCGATTCCTAGCCACCGTGGGAAGCAAGCTTGATTCATGATGACACTTCCAACTTCTATAAATTCTAAACATGCTTTATAATTTTGACCACTTTCCTTCTTTATATTCCTGGATCATTTTACTGAAATTATACTGGATGTCTCAACCACATGACCTGTTTTAACCAGTAAGTCCCTACTCTGAAGCTTAATCAGTTGAAAAATCCAGCACTTAATGACCAACCATTTTTTATTTCTGCTGGGATTTGAACCTTGTCTTCAAGGATTTCGCTTGCTTCATTCCCACTAGGCCACACCCTCAGATGTTCGTGTCAATTTAGAGAATACTTTGCTAATAATAAGAACCATTGACTTTTCCGTTTGATTTCAATTTCAGGGGAGAATTCTACAACTCAAAGCATGTAGAGTCCTGAATATAAGAGTTGATAAATAAATGACGAAGCATCACTAATGCTAAATAATTTAGAGAGATAAAAAGATGTTGCGGATAATGTATTCAAGAGCCAAAAAGATGAGTAAAAATATGAGCTTCACCTTTCACTAGGAAAAGCGGGAAAATAAGAAATAGAGAGTAAATGTGAATAAAACATTACTGTACTTAGAAAGGATTGAGACAGCTTTGTAAAGCAAAATGTTGGTTAGATGATTCTTAGGTAAGAGAGTTAAATTGTAAGTATAAATACATAAATCTATGTCCCTCTCAGGCAATTTAACATTTTCCGAGAGGTATTATTAACATACTTCAACATGATAACAAATTTAATAGTGAACAAACCAATTCTCACAGTAGCAAGTAGGGTGTTCAACAAAAAAACAGAAAATCCGACAAAAAACAACAAAAAAAAGCAACATGTAACTTTGATTTGATTCAGTTAGTGTTAAATTAAAAAGAAAAAAAACAATATTTGGTTTGATTTGGTTTAGTATTAAACAGAACTTCCGGTATTCGAATTATCGGCAGGGCTACACGATGGTGGAAGTAGAGTGGCTGGAGCTCCTCTCCTTACAGTCAAGTGGCTTTCACTCCTTCAAATCAATTATATTGGGAGGCCTAACGAGTGACAATGGTTCACAGTCCGACTGCTAATTCAAGTTACCTTTCAAACAGACGAGATTCCGCATCTACTTATTCCGGGATGAAGACATGTCGGCCTTACGACTGCTAATTGAGGCCTAAACTTACTGCTTACTCAAACAATACCGGCTTGAACAAGGAAAGCGGTCCCTTACCTTCTCTATTTCCTTCCCGTAATCGAACCCGGTAATAAGATTTGAACATAGATTCATTCCCATCGATTGGATCCTACAGAGACCAAGAACAAGGACCGAGAGTAATAGGGAATTCGGGATAAAAAAGTGTGGATTATGAGAATTCGGGACCGAGGGGGTCCGGCTAAAAATAATTCAAAAAATATAAAAAAATGTCTGAATTATGAGAAATTTTGTCGAATACATATATATAGCTTGTAAAGTGTGGATTTCTTTTTTATTCTCAAGTTGTAGGTAAATAAATGATTGATTTCCTAGATAAGGTATGTTGTTTTCTTCAAATTTACCCTCGAAGAATCAAATTATATCTCGTCTCGAATTTTTCCGGCCGTCGCGGTCAAAGTACCCAAAATTGTTTGATCAGATCCGGTACGGATCCCATACCCACACCCATACTAGTGTCGTGTCGACACGGGTACGACACCTAAACTGCCATGTCGGAGCAACTTAGCCCCCCTAGACTTGTTTGAAACAATCCCCCTAAGTGCTAAGATGGCAAAGGAAGAGCGAGAAGCACAAAAAATGTTAAAACAATATTTTTCCACAAATGGAAAAAGAGAAGCACAAAACGGTGTGATCGATAGAGCATCCTACTAACAATTTTTCCACTTCTTAGTGGAATCCCCTTCGTAGACTACTGGCTTCCCATCACCTAATTACACTTCCCAATATCAACCATCAAGAAAAAGAAGGTATGAACTATGACGTCGTTCTACTCCATTTTCAACTCCTTCCTAACTTGATCTTTCAAGGCAAAACTATTCTGCAGCTTGCTACGTAAAACTCAACGTAAGGACAAAGGAAAACTTTAAAATTTTCAGCCGTTTTGTCACAGTACTTACTTATAGGCAAACATGTCACACTTTGGCCAAGTATCCTACAAAGAGACTCCAGAGAGCCAGAAGTACTAAAGAAATGGCCATAGGAATGGGCGGCATCATTACATCGTAAGATGTCTCGCCCGAATGAATTAGTTGGTACTAGAAATGTCAGAAAAAGTTAACGAAAGGAGTAATAAGAGGTGAAAAGGACGGAGACACTTCCCAACCAGAAAGAAGCGAGCGGTTTAGAAGTTCGGCCCGGTTTTTTTGGTGTCGTAGGGGAGGGATAGACCTTTCTAACGCATATTTAGTCGTACCGGCATGGCCCCACTTATTTGTTTTCGATCGGAGCATCAAGCAGCGCAACCCGGTTCTACTTGACTAAGCCCGTGCTCCTCCAAGGAGAAAGTTTGCTTTACCCAACTCCCTTTTTGATAACAAGGCAGAAATCCCCAACCCGACACTTGTTAGTTTCGAATGAAGAATGACAAGTGCCCTGCCCTAGCAGAATCACTGCAACCATGACATGTGCACAGGATCTTATATAAAACCGATAATCATGCATCCTATTTACCACATTAACCTCAAGAGATCTCAGCGCTCTACCTTGCAGAAATTTTTGGCTCTACCATAAACTGACATTTCAGTTTTAACCTCAAGAGATCTCAGCGCTCTACCTTGCAGAAATTTTTAGCAGAGTCTAACCTCCGTATCCTTATCATCCTAATAATCCACGTACATATCCTCTATTTTTCTTTATGCACATCTAGTAGACAAAAGCAGCGAGATCTAGTGCCCAAAGAGTGATTAAGCATTTACCTTGAATTTTCTAATTGCACATGTCTTACCCCTACGATGAATTGCCTCGGTATTTCTGTGCTACCATTCAAATACAGAGCTAACTTTTTCTTTTTTGAAAGTACCATTCAGATATGCAGCACAACTATGATTTTAACTAGTATAATTGAAAACTAAAACATTAAAATAAAAAATGTATGCTACCACGGCGGATCCACTCAAAGAACTCCCGAATCTCGAAATCTCCAGATAAACTGAAAACAATGCCAAACCAATAAATATCAAGTAAAAGCAAGAAAGCAAACCTTGATTTCTTTCGCTGGTTCAAACGGTGGCAGTGCATATTCCACTGGCACTTCTGTCAGATGATTCAACACAATAATTACAGACACATACACAAAAGGCAAGAAAAAATAATTTACATACAATTATATAAGCAAAAATAAAAAAGGAAAAAACCAAATGTATAAAAATACTCCTTTTTTCTAATTTATGCGAACTCATTTGACTGTCGGAAAATACTGGAAGGACGAGGAAATAAAATATCCCTGCCGATGTCAGAAAATAAGACTTTTGCAACTTGTGCTCTTTAAGCACATCGTAACAATTATAGTTACAAAGACTTTTGAAATCCGTGATCTTAAATATATCATAACATTTGTGGCTATAAAAACTTATTATTAAGGATAAATTGGAAAATTTACATTAACTGTATTCAGATTTAGAAAAGGATCATTCTTTTCAAGATGGACTAAGCAGGTAATCGGGTCACATAAACAGGGAGTAATAGTTTTGATCGTAGAAACCAAACATGAGCTAATAAACATACTACAAGTAGTTCTTTTCACAAATAAATAAAAAAAAGCAAAGTTAGAGAAAAAAGAAGGAATTATACAAAATTGGAAACAGTACCAGAAAGTTGGTGAGCGGAAGAGGAGTCAGTATCGAATTTGGATTGCACATCACTCTCAATTTGTTGTACGGATGAGTGAACAGTAGGATGAGCTAGGGTTTCTGACACTGAAATTTCCACCTTCGGTTCATGTAAACTCTCAATTCCACTCTCCTTACGTTCATCACCACCACCATCGAGTACTCCGCCGTCATGTACGGAGGAGTTATCGTTTTTGTTTTCTTCTGGATTTGAATTCTCGGCTCCGGCAGCTTTGGAGCTCTCGTTTTCTTCGTCCATGGCGGATTCCTGTGTGTGTGTGTGTGTGTGTGTGTGTGTGAGGAGAGGAAAATGAATAGAGGAAATGAAAGAGAGAGTAAAGGTTTTTGCAACGGAGAGCTTTTTTCTGTTTTTTATTCTTTTTTTATTTTTTATGTCTAACATTTCCTTTTTTACATAAAGTATGTGATGGTGACAAATATAAAATGGTTGCTATGAGCACTCCCCCCCTCTGAAATGACCACTTTAACCTTGAAGCTTTTCCTTTTTGTCATTTGGTAAATTTACTTTTTCTTTTTCCCTTCATTATTCTCTTCCAAAATAGAGGAATTTTCATAAAACACTATAGTTTAGTGCCTAGTAACTATAATTTATCTAATTACCATTCGTAACTACTATTTAATTGCTACTAACTTGCATCACTTGTATTCAGACGCGCATCAAATACAACATGTGTCAATTGTATTCATTCGTGCTAAGGCTATCCAACAGGAAGGGTCGGAATGGGAGGGGCCTGGCCTGGCCTTAAATGGGACGGGATAAGCGAGACGACCCGGTAGGCCCATCCCATCTCGTTTGTTAGTGAGATGGGACGTGAATGGTCGGTACGTGGACCCTTAGTGGGCCTTTTTTTTAAAAAAATATTTTAAATATTTAAGCATTAAATTCGTTAACGGCTAATTTTTTATAGATAGCAACAGTTATTTTTTTTTTAAAGTTGACAATAACTAAATTTTTAAAGTTTACAACGGCTAATATTTTGACCTATTTAATAAACTTAAAACTTAATAAACTTTAAAGAAACTAAGTAAAGAATTATAAAATATTAAAATAAAAAAACTTGTAACGAAATATTTTAATAATTATAATAGACTTGTAATTTATTTAATATAATCTCAAGTTATAAAGTAACTAAGTAAGAGTGTAAGACAATTCATAAAAAAATTCAAGGCTAAAGCCTTTTATTTTATTAATAAAACTTTCGAATTTCATATACAAATATGACCGTTTATAGTCATTGCCAACGGCTAATTTTGCAAAGAATGTCGTTGGCCAACGGCTCTTTTTCAAATAAAAATAAAAAAAATAAAAAAATTAACCACGCGGGCTGGCGGGACGTGACGTTAACGGGCCGGCCCACCGGGACAAAATGGGCAGCCGGTCCCATCCCATGTCCCGTTTACTATGGGCCCAGTCTTGTTTAAAAGTTAGTGGGCAGGGACGGGACGGGACGGGATCAGGATGGACGGGGTCGTCCTGTTGGACAGTTATAATTCGCATAACGAATACAATATGTATCAACTGTAATTGTATTCATTCGTGCAATGAATACAATATGTACCAACTGTATAACCAAGGCAAAATAAGGGTGTATACAAAGGAATAAACTGTTCTTGTTGAGAGTCGAACTCAAGACCTCCGCTAACTAAGCGGACTCTCGTACCAACTGAGCTACGAGAACTTATTGCTTTCTTGTTTTAGTTCAAAACAATAATTTTTTAATTCATAGATTTGCTATAAAAATCAAATATAGTTATGAATGGTAAATTTGCTGAAAGTATAGCTACGAATGATAAATTCAGTATAAATATTTGATATGTTGCGTAATATTCCCTCTATGATATGGAGTAAGATTTACTCTTTATTACTTCTTATAATTTCCATGGTAATATAAGAAACAAGACTGAATAATTTAGGCTAAAGTAATAAAGGCTTTATAAATATTTGGCTTTTGGTTCTTCATTTAGGTTAGAGATAAAATGTCTTTATTTTGTTCGGTTTTTCTCTCACCGTCATATGTTTTTCTTCAAATGTCTATGCTTATGATTTGACCATGCTACTATCACATTATTTATAATCCTTTTCAATTTTATAAATTTCTTATTTTTAGTTCATTCTCTGCTTCTTTATTACCTTATTGTGTTTTTAATTTTAAAGAAAAATACGAATGAAAAAGATACAAAAACTAAGAGAAGTGGCTAGCAGAATCGATGGCATTGTTACTTGAATAACTAATGAACCCTCGAATTAATGAACTCCTATATTGAATATGGATTGTAAACTTTATAGAATTGAGTGGATTAATTTCTATCAAAATAAATAAATAAATAAATAAATAAATAAGACGATGGGTACTTTGTCAAAAGATAATTTTTTTGATGGCATTAGAGTAATCTATGCTTAATTTGATATGCTAGACTAATTCATGAGCTCCATTTAACCTGGAAATTACATTAACTCAAGGTCTATAAAAGGGCAAAAGGGCATCCCGGTGCACTAAGCTCCCGCTATGCGCGGGGTCTGGGAAAGGATCGGGCCACAAAGATCTATTATACGCAACCTTACCCTACATTTCTGTAAGAGGCTGTTTTCACGGCTTGAACACGTGACCTCCTGGTCACATGGCAACAACTTTACCAGTTACATCAAGGCTCCCCTTCATTAACTCAAGGTCTATCTGCTAATAAAATTGATGAAACTCGGTATGATCTGTTAAAAAAAAATTCCTGATTTCTTTTCCATTTTTTGGATAGTCCACTATTGCATCAATAACATATTTACCAAATTTAAAGTTTTTTTTATATTTGGACCAAAAAATAGGCTTTTATACACATAAGGTTAAAGTGGTAATTTACCTAGTGAGGATGGTCTTTCTTTTGTGAAGTGGCAATAGCAAAAGATGAAGAGACATATAATATAATAAAGTCCGGATCCGAATTATTTGGTGTGAGAATCGGACATATGTGTACTATTCCGGTTCGGGCTTTTCGCAACCAAAATATGCGAGTGTGTGACAGTGCATGTCGTTGACTCCTATTGACTCACTTTACTCCTCAGGTGCTTCTTTTTTTATTCCTTTTTTTTTTTTTTTTTAATTTGACCTTCCGGCAAAAGGAGGATTATTCAGAGCGAGCTCAATGGATAACTCGTAACTTGGGATGAAATAACGGTTGGATGGTTGAGACTCCCTATCTTTAGAGACAAAGAAAGGCGTGAACTTTTTGTAGGTCGTATGCATACTTGTTTTAAAACATTTCTGATTATTTTGGTAGATGACGACGAAATTGTTAGAGCCGATATTACTTTTAGAATGACAAAATCGAAATATAATGTTGAACATGTATGTATAATTGTCGCTTTGGCTCTCAACTTGAATTCTTGCCAATTAAAGCTTATTATAAGAGGAAATACTTTATATCAGGATTTTTTTGATTCGAACCATAGACTTTTTTAGTATTTTAATATTAAAAGACAAAAAGGTTTAACTCCTTTAAAATTGAATTACTCCTTTTGTCATTTAGGGAGATGTTTGATTGAACTCAAAACTAAAAAAATAAACTACTTTTAGAGTTAGTAAGACTTGAACAAGTCATGATATTTTTGTGATTATAAGAACATGGTATTAAAAGTAAAATGAGATATTTAACTGTTAGAAAGGTTATAGATGTATAAAAAAAATATTACTCCTATTCTTTTTGAAACATATTAAAAATAAAAGAGTGCAACATAAAAGAAAATAGAGAATATTTTTTATAATAATGTATGTCCCTCTCATTTGCGCGTATATCTCAACTAATTTTTTGGTATTTGAATCTTTCACTAGAATAAATATCGGATGACTGTATCCATTAGAAAATCACTTTTTTTGGAACCGAGAAAGGGAGAGAGGGGTATTGACACCAAGTGGATTTTTCCTTCTTTTGGTAAATAATTTTATAGGTGGAATGTGTAGTTTATTTAAATAAGAAAAAAAATTATTTTTTTAGATTTTGATAAAACGGTTCAAAACTAAGAGGATGTCTTTTCAATTGTGTGTATATCTTTTGTTTAAATGTTTATTTATGTAAGAATTGCTATCAAGGTTATAGTGGAATGAATAAGATCCTTCTATGTTATAGATTTGAGCCAGGCTCCTCCATCGTAAATTCAAATTAATCCTGACATAAAAAATAGGTACCTGGCACCGGGTAAAAAGAAGAAGAAGCCAGAAAGTAACAACTGAATATTTACTTTAGAATAGCATTTCGTACTGAATATTTACTTTAGAATAGCATTTCGTATAATGCTTGTAAATTAATCAGACTCCACCAAGAAATTCATTTCTTTTGTCAGCTCTTGCCCATTCAGAAAAGCAAACTAAGCGTCACTTAAAAAAAATCCTTTAAAACAACTAATATGAGATAATACTACAATAACAACATACCCAGTATTATCCCACACCGTGAGGTTTGGAGAGGATAGTGTGTATGCAGGCCTTACCCATACCTTGTGAGGATAGAGATGTTGTTTCCAATAGACCCTCGGCTCAAAAAAGCATAAGCACCACATTAATGAAAATATAGATAAGAAGGGACAATACCAAAAAGCCATATAAAAGCAGAATAAAAATAACAAGATAGTAAGGTGATCAACAATGAAAGAAAACAACGGTTAGTCATAAAAATCTACTACCAACATAAAGCGAGATTGTGTGCCAACACTAGTACTGTTATGAACACCTTAGATTACCTACTCTATTATCCTAATTCTCGACCTCCATACCTTTCTATAAAGGGTCATGTCCTCGGTCAGCTGAAGCTGCGCCATATCTTGCTAAATCACATCTCTCCACCTCTTCTTTGGCCTACCTCTACCTCTCCGAAGACCCTCCAATATCAACCCCTCACACTTCCTCACCGGGACATCTGTGCTTCTCCTCCTCACATGACCAAACCACTTAAGTCGGCTTCCCATTTCTTGTCCTCAATAGGGGCCACACCCACCTTGTTACGAATAACCTCATTTCTGATCATATCTAACATAGTGTGCCCGCACATCCATCTCAATATCCTCATCTCTGCTACCTTCATCTTCTGAACATGAGCGATCTTAACTGGCCAACACTCAGCCCCATATAATATCGTTGGTCTAACCACCACTCTGTAAAATTTACCTTTAAGTTTCGGTGGCACCTTCTTATCACACAAAACACCGGAAGCGAGTCTCCGATCCATTTCATCCATCCCGCCCCAATACGATGCGTGACATCTTTATCAATCTCCCCACCCCCCTGAATAATAGACCCAGGGTACTTAAAACTTCATCTCATAAGGATGACATGCGAGTCCAGCCTCACCTCCCCTTCCCCTCCTTGAGTCTCACCACT